GCCTAGTCTAGACCTCAATATGTAGCCCAAATGTCCTTGAATTTGTGACAGTCCCCCTGCACCTGCCTCCTGTGGCTCCGTAGGTCACACCAATGGACCAATGCACTGCCAAGCCCACCTTGAAGCATTTTCTGATGGCTATTTCTTTCAAGGTTCAGTCTGTAAGAACAGTGACTGTTCTCTTTAAGACCAATGCTATGCATGCATTTGCACTTCTTGGGATTATCCAGAGAGGATCAATTTAGTAGGTATTACCCTGTATGGTAGTTTCAGAAAGGCACCAACTTTCACCTTAATGGGTTTTATAAACTAAACACGGATGTCACTAAGAGGAGAGTAAGTCTACAAAGCAAGGAGAGTAGGGGAGAGAAAAATCCCCAAGATATATTATAATTGTCTCTAACATTCCTTAGTATTACCACAGCCCCAGTAGAGTCTTGCTATCACTATTAACTATTATTTGCTGTTGTTGTTGGTCTTTTGAGACAGGGTCTTATTAACAAGGCTGGCCCCAAATTCCCTGTATATAATTTTGAACTTCTGGTCCTGCTTACCTCCTGCTGGGATGGCAGGTGTGCACTACCATGTTGGCCAACCCTATTTTATTGTATTGTTTTGGGTAACAATAAAGCAGCCGCAGAAGAAGCTGAGAACTTCTGGGTTCCTGCATTACTTCTCCTCTCCTCGCTGGTGCTCAGCCGAATTTAAAGGTGCCAGGGACTGATAGCATTTTGATGTGGGGGGGCTTAAATGCAAAGTTTGGGTGGCAATTAGTCACACACTTGGGAACTGTGAGTTCTCTTCCCCTAAAGGGAGAAGCTAAACATTAAAAAAAAAAGTGACCAAATGCCTCTGGATTGTTTTTCTTATGCTTCATTCAAAGTCATTTCAATTATATGTCAAGGTTTTGTTTTGTTTTGTTTTTGTCCTGGGTCAGAGCCATCCTTTCTCACTGGGTTCTGGAAGGATCTGATCACTCATTGTGTTATCTTTGTGGGTGGCGATGGAGAGTGAAGTCCTCAGACCCTTCCATTTTTGAAATATTTTAAGCAGTTCGTAACTTGGTAAATCCACAGTCTCCAGACACCAGTGGTTATCCACGTTTTACAATACTTTGGCTGAACATCAACTTGCAAGAAAAAAAAAAAAAGCAGTCTTTGAAATACTTGTAATTTGTTCTTTATTAAATTACATTTATTAATTATGACTATGATGATGTGTGTGCATGATGTGTGCAGAGGCACACATGCCACAGCTGTGGAGGCCGAAGTCAGAGGACAAGTTTGAGGAGTCTGTTTTCTCCTTCCTTCACGTGGATTCTGGGAGTGGAGCTCTAGTCATCAGGCTTGCATAGCAAGTGCTTTACCCACTGGGACACCCCACCATCTAGACCTAAGTTGTTGTTGTTTTAATGTCTACTTTTAAATGCAGTCTTCAAAATCTTTTCACAAGTCTTTACATTGTTACTTCATTCACCCAAGATAATTTTCATTAGTGATTACCTTCTGAAATGAGAACATTTTTATGCCATGGGAGAAGTTATCTTTTTTTTTTTTTTTTTCTCCTCCTCTCCCTGTCTGAGGGCAATAAAGTTTGTATAACTCAAAAACTCTGCTAGGAGAAATCTAAATTTTATTTAAAGTTTAAACTCTGGGCCACCAATGTAAGCCAGGTTAACATGCAAAAATATAAACATAACTAGAAACGGAACCGTTGTATTTAATACCTGTCAAACTTGTATCTAAAATATTGCTTAGGATTCAGAACTCTGAATTCCAACCAGATGTATTTTCCGACTATTACACAGGTCATATATATTTCAGTTTTTAAAGTTCAAACCCAGGAGATCGACAGGATAATTAGATTGAGAACATCTGTGGTAAATCCATACCATTTCCCTCGGTGGTTCCCCACGAAAGGGAACTTGTTTCAGTGCGGGAGGCACATTCTATTTGTTTAGCTACTTTTAGGCCAATTTCTGTCGTTCTTGCCGGTCACCGCACAAGCATAGACGATCTCTAAAGTGCAAGATAGGGAAAAAAAGGATAAGATCTAAGTGGCTCAAGGTGGCCAAGTAGTTGCTTCCCGCTTGGATTCCGGACAGGGCGTGGCCAAGTGCTCATGGCCGGGGTGGGCAAGTGGGATGCGGGACCCTGAAGACCCGAGTGTCGGGGAGCCGCTGCCCTCTACCGGGCGGTGCGATCTGAGCTGAAGAGCAGCCGCCCGCGCGTTCCGGCTCTGGCCCCTAACACCAGGCCTGTGGTCACTTGAGATCCGCAGTGTCCCTCCTGATGCCGCGTCACGGCATCCAGACTGGAGGCTGGCTCTGCGCCCCCTGACGCCCGCGCGCTTCCACGCACCTGCTTCGTGTCGCTCCTGCCACACAGAGGCTGCAACTTGGGGAAGCAACCGTGTCCCGACCACTTCGTGACAGAGAGACTTCTGGCGGCAGTTGCAAGACCTGGGGACACTTGTGTTCTTTAATTCTCGGGGGGAACTTTCACTTCCAACCCCTTTCTCTAAAAATATCGATCTCACCGCAACCGATATAGCGCTAAACCCTCGAACTTGGCTCAGAGAGCAATTATTTTCTACTGTCATGTTTTGTGTTCCATACACACTTTATTTACATGTAATTTTAAAGATTAAGGAATTTGGGGGATTTGTCTTAACTAATTACACGTTCAACGAAGCGCAGAAGAGTGAAAACACTGTATCCCTACTGTAAACGCAAACTCGCCGGTGTGAATAAATCCATTAAAGATGATGATCCTAAAATGCGTGCTTTGGAGCCAGAGAGAATGTAAAGAGAATTTCCTCCCACGACTCCCGCTTTAAATGTGAGCATTTTTTGCAAACTTGGAAACACGCGCTCCGTTTTGAGTGCGTTGCACGCTTTCAAACTTTCTGTCTGCAAGGGCCAGGCGCGGAGCTGTGTGAACCACAGAGGAAGTTTCTTGGGTTGTGTTGCAGAAGAGTGGTTGGGGACAGAGTTAGGTTCCAAGACTTTCCCAGTCCTGGCCAACGCTAGAACGGCTATGAAGGGTGGGAGCCTGTTGCCACTTGCTGATGTGTCCCGGTGCAATTTGGGGGTCGCACCGAGTATGGGACATGAACGTGAGCAGCGACAGCAGCCACAGGCGCCGGAGGGCCCAAGGCTAGCGGTCAACCCTCCTTTTACCACTACACAATTGTACTTCCTTGAATGTGAAAACACTGTGACCCATGCGGTCTGGAGGTCCCCCAGCTGGAACGCGCGCAGGGGGACCGGAGTGAGGTCTTGTCCAGCACACGCGCGCGGGATGGGCTGTGTGTCTGGGTCACGGGCTTTTGCAGGTGGGTCATTGCACGCTCCGCATGCACGGTGCAAAAAGAGCGCTGCGCCCGCACACGGCTGCAGCGGCGCAGCGCCCTGTCCTCACCTAAGAAAGCCAGGGGCCTCCATCCCCGAGCCATGCCCACCAGCGACCGCGCGACCTTTGGGGGGGGGTGTCACCCTTTAGGTGAGCTGCAGGGCCTCCGAGGAGACCCTGTAGCGCCCCCTCGGGGCCGGGCCGCTGCAGGGTCGCCGCGCGGCCGGGGAGGGGGGCTTGTGACGGGGCGCGCGGGAAAAAGGGTGAGGGGTCGCGAGGGCCCCGGATGCCCGCGCTCAGGCTGTGGACAGAGAGCGCGGCGCGCGCGCGCCCAGGCCGCCGCCGCCGCCGCCGCCGCCGCCGCCGCGTTTCCCTCAGGCTCCTGACTCCACGGCTGAGGCGGCCGCAGTGGCGGCGGCGGCGGCGGCGGCGGCGGCGGCGCCGTGAGGAAGGAGTCCGCGTCCGCGGTGGCTGAGGCGGCGGCCGGCTCCAGGCCGGGTTTTGGCGCCCGCCCGCCTGCTGCCTCCTGGCGGCTCCTGAACTCCAGCCCCCTCTCTATCAGCCTCTCACTCCGTCTCAATATGTCTCAAGATGGCGGCCAATGTGGGATCGATGTTTCAATATTGGAAGCGCTTTGATTTACAGCAGCTGCAGGTCAGGCTTCTCCGCGCTCGGCCTCGCGCCCGGGGGGTGAGGGCTGCGGGCGGTCGCGGCCTCCCTCAGGAAGGAGGGTGACACTCCGGGCTGCCAGGCCCTGGCGGGGGTGCTGAGGCGACGGGGGAAAGCAGGAGGGGGGTGCCGGGAGAAGAGCGGGGCCGAGTCGGCGACGAGTCCCCCGGGCTCCCCGGCTCTCATTGATCACTCGGCTTGATCAGAAATTGATCCTCTTTGTTCAATTCATCGATCAGCCCAAGATGGCGCCGGAGCCGCCAGCCGCCACCAACATCTTTGCCCCCCGGTGTCTGCCCCCTTCAACCCCGGAGGGTGTCTTCCTCCCCACCATCATCGCCATCATCATCGTCGTCGTCGCCGCCGTCGTTGCCGACCCCGCGCGCTGGCGCTGTCGCTGTCGCGGGACCCCGGTGCAAAGGAGGGGGGAGCGGCGGTCCCCCCCCGGGGGCTCAGTGGGAACTCGCGCGCGCTCAAGAGGGGGACGCGCCACGGGGTGACTCTGGAGGGGTGGCGGGGTTGCAAAGAAGGGGAGCTGCGGGACGCTAGTCGCCCTCCCGCCAGTCACGTCCTTCCTTCCCCCCGGCTCAGCCCCGGCGTATTCCCGGGGAAAGTTTGTGGGGAGTTGCTGGTGGGGGGTGAAGCGCCTGTCTCTCTCTCTCTCTCTCTCTCTCTCTCGCTCTGTCTCCTGGAGGAGAGAGTCGCGGACCGCCGCCGCCGCCACTGCCCCGCCGGCGCGGCGGAGCTGGAGCTGGTGGCGCTGTGGTGCCGCCGGCTCCGGGGGAGGGTCAGATCGGCCACCGGCGGCTGGCGGCGGCGACGGCCAGGCTGGCGGGTGGCCCCTTGTCGTGGAGACGGCAGGCGGCTCGGAGCTCCTGGCTGCTCCCCGATCGGTCCCCTTGGGCCCAACCGCCACTGTTCCTCTTTCCACTACTCCCGTTAGGGATTGTCAACCGGGATTGTCAACCGGTGTCGACCCGGCCAGGGGACCGGCTTCCCGGTGTGGCGGGTCCCTCCCCCACCCCGTTTGTTTACGTCCCGGGGCCAACCCGCAAGCCCCGCGCTCTTTTGTGTGTCTGCTGCGTGAAAGTGACTACGGAGCTGGATTTGTCCCCTTTTTTTTGCGCCCGGGGACTTCCTTGGGAAGGGGTTGTGGGGGAAGCTTTGGAAGGGGAAAACTTGGCTTGCCGGGAACACCGGTGGGTCGCGCAGAGTGTGGGATCGGCTCCGGACAAGGGGGAAGGTGAGGGAGGAAGGCTGCAACTTTCAACCGAGTGCAGGTCTCTGCGTGACCCGCTTTTCCCGGGGCGCTTCCCTCCGCCCCCCGCATCACTGATCGGTGCAGACAGACTTAGCTGCGCGTCTCAGGGACTTCCAGGGCTCCCCCCTCGGTGACCCGTCGCTTGCTTCACTCCAGACCCTCACTCTCTTTAGCGGAGGGGTGTGTTCTGTCCTCTCTGCTAAGGGGCCGCAGGAGCTATGGAGCGCGCGGCAGGTCCGCTACAAGCTGCCTTCTCCAGCCTGGTTCTCGAAAGCAAAGCCCCGGGGGCCCCGCTGGACTGTGTGGAGACTGATTGTAGTTCCCCATCTCCTCGAGGGGATGGTACCGGGGCTTCCCATTCCGCGGCGGAGCTGCCTGCGTGCCCAGAGGATGGTATCCTGCCTGCCACCCCTCATCTGAACCAGCTGCTCGCCCTCGGGGTCTTCCCTGCTAATGCTAGCTCCGCGTTCGCGGCTCCTGGACAGCCCCGGGAATCTGCCAGGTGGATGTTGTGCTTAGCCGGAGCCAAGTTGAAGGTGAGCGGCGAATGAGCCCTCAGAGCTTTGATCACTGGGGACACTGGAGAGTGGGGACAGTAACAGTCTTGTGGTCCAGAGAGGCAGCCTTGTGCTCTCTCTCTCTCTCTCTCTCTCTCTCTCTCTCTCTCTCTCTCTCTCTCTCTCTCTCTCTCTCTCTCTCTCTGTGTGTGTTGTTCCATTGACATCTCTAGGGAACCGCCTGTGCTCCCAACTCTAAAGTGTGTTTGAAGGTGAACTTGAGTGAACTTTTCTAACCCACCCATGGCACCCTTAGGAGTCTGAAACAAACAAACTCCGTATGTAGGCCTGCAGGAAACGAAGCCGATTGGATTAAAACATATATAAGTGGAGTGAAACAACTTTAATTATGCTTGCTTTTTCTGCCCTTGCCTACGTGAGGACGATAAGGCAGACGCATACTCGTTATGAAATTTCCTCCCATTTCTCTCTTAAGTAAGGAAGACTATGTGAAATATGTATTTCTGATAAGATTAAAACTTAAAGAAGTTCGAGTATTTATTGACTAAAATGGATTACTCCATAGTGTCTATTGTGTAAATTAGATTCCTGAATGTAATGAACATAGCCCGGATGGCATTTTTTGATTAATTGGTCTACCCTATTTTAGTAAAAATAGCTCCCTTTTTACCATAATTTAATTCCTGTGCTTACTGTAAAATCCGTTGTGGAGTTTTAAGAAACAAACCTTAGTGTCCCCCCCACACACACACACCCTAGTGTAATATCAGTAAAGTTCCTTTATTAAGAATTCCCGAAGAAGGCTGGAATAATAATTTGGTTTCTTGAGAATTATTAGATTTTATGAACTTGTGTATATTCTTGCACTCCCCCCCCCCCATGCATTGATTAGCTTTCTTTGGGGAATCTTGAGGATATTTAACCACGTGCCTTCATTGAAAGTTTCCCTTATGGTTGACATGAATGAACTTCATGTTGATCTTAAGACAACAACAACAAACAAAACCCTTTGTTAAGCACTGTTCTTGTTACAGAGCCTTTTGGCCTTAGGTGGTTTCAACTGTGTCACTGGATGGCAAGTTTGAAAGCCTTACTTGAACTTGGAATGCCAAAGGTCAAGTATGACTCTGGACTGCTCCTTTATCTGAGAACTTAGGTCCAGGGCTTTTGAGTTGGTATCTGGTTGAGGGTCCTCTGTTGTCACCAATAGGGAGCTGGAGATTTTGGTGAGAATTCTTTAGTTTACACTGAGATCCAATTGACTGAAAACTTAATGTAGGTCCTCTTGGAGTCTTAGCTGGATTGATTTAGGTCTTGGTAATATGCAGCAGGACCCTGTTCCCCCTTAGTGTCCTGGAGGGCTATGTTCTTATGCTCCTGCTTCTTGGGACTTATGACCATCTTGGGACTTGGAGTGGATGTCTACCCCTGAAGAGAGTTTCTGAAAACTGGCCTGTTTCCTTTCTCATCCCCAGCCAAGGCTTCTACTGTGCAAAGTTAGTGCTCTAGTGTCGCTAAGACTAGTTGAACAAGTTTTGATTCTGTCCCAGACTTGTAAAAACCAAACTTTTTTTTAAACTAAGAAAAATACCATTGTATAAATTTATCTTTTAAATACATGTTTGAAAAGAGGTATATTTAACTCTGGAATTAGTGGAACTCTGAATATTCTTGGGGATGAGGCCTGCCTGTGACTGCACCAGTCTGGGGCATTTTTTACTGTAGGGTGATGTGTTCCCTTTTGAGAATTCCTTACAAAAGTGAACTCTAAAACTGTTCTCTCCCAAATTAGAAAACCAATTCAATTTTTGCTGAAAGTCCATTTTCCTGGTTGCTTTTGTTTTTTCCTCTTACAGATGTGCTCCAATTTGTATGTGTTTTGTGTCTGTGTTTGTGTGTGTGTTTGTGTTGTATGTTTCCAGCAGCCCACCACTGCTCCTTGTAATAAGTATATAATTTCAATTTAAAATACTCCACTTAGTGTCTTTGATAGGATAATGAATGAATAAATGATAGCAGGAACGCCTGCTTTTTTTCTATCTTGGTTCTTTTAATATAGGTGTCTTATGAGACTGGGTGTGGGAAGAGTTATTATCAGTTGCTTAAAGCTTTTGTCTGGGTGAACCCCCTCCTTGATGTTGTTGGGTGCACTGAAGCCTTATGGCCTGTGTCTTCTATCAATACTCAGGTCTAAACTGCTCTGACTGCCTGAGAATTTTTCTCTCCTAATCCATGAGTGAATCTGCCATTTGCTCAACCCCACTGAGTCCACGACATTTAGTTTTAAAAGTCCTTTCTCGTTGATAGTCAAGGAAGAGAAAACTATCAGCGTGTGTGGGAGTTTTCCATTGATGGTCAAGGCTTTTCCTGAGATTGTAGAAAAAACAAGGCCAGAGAGAAGTCCTGTATCTATTCCATAGTGAAATGAAGGAAGGGTAGATTTGTTATGGGAAAATCTGTATATTGCTTTAGGAGAAATTTTACTGAATGAAAAATCTCAGTACTTGCCCTTGTTTCCTTTTATAGTTTCCAAAAATTTCACGTATCTTGCTGGGCCATAACATGGTAGTAAGTTATCCTGCTGTATAGAATCATGACTATAGGAATTGTTTGAAATTTATTTGAAATTTAATACGTAGCTTTAAAGTATAAATGCCCTTCCCAAGAAAAGTCTGATTTTTATTAGTCATTGTCAGCGGCAGAAATGTGTCTACGTCGTCGTTTTGTTTTGTCTGAAGCTCTGGGTTATTGCTGCCGCAGAGAGATAGTTTTGGTTTCAATTGAAATTCCCCTGCCTCTGATTGTTTAAACCAGACCCTTAATCTTATTTTAACATATTTTAACCATTCAAAAAACCTGGAAGACTTGTTTTGTGTAAGTAGCAAGCAAATGTAGTTTAAACACTCCAGCAATTCTGGTATCTAATTGGAAACAGGTGGGACTCTTGGACTCTTTCGTGTGAATCTGACCATAGCCAAGTGGAGGGACACTTACTGCTGGTGGTTATTCATTTTGTTGAAGAGAGGCCCACAACCTCTTTTTGTTATACTACTCTGTACCTGGACATCCACATCATGCCTGAGAGCAAAAAAGATCTCAGAGGCAATAATTGGACAAGTGGTTGATTTTTGTTTTTGGTTTTGGTTTTTTTTTTTTTTTTTTTTTTTTTTTTTGTCTTTTGTTTTTTAAGAGACAGGGTCTCTCTACAAAGTCCTGGCTATCTTGAACTCAGAGATGCATTTGCCTCAGCTTGCTGAGTGCTGGGATTAAAAGCACCCACCCATCCCTACTCTTGGCTCATCCATGACCTGATGATTTGCATTTTATAATAGCCTAAAAATTCTATACGTAATGAAAGACTCTGCCATTGAAAGCCTTAGAAGTTTAGCTTGGGCTGGGGTGTATTTCACTAACATACCAGTGGAACAGTCCCCAGAACTATGTACCCTTTTCCTAGTTCAGGTTTTGGGCGTGCAATCCTGAAAGCCAGTTGGTGGCCTTGACTGTCTGTTCTAAATTAGGTTTTGCTGGGTGTGTGTGTGTGTGTGTGTGTGTGTGTGTATGTGTGTGTGTACTGGAATTTTCTAAGGATCATTTGGAGTTGTTGGTCTTGCTCATGTTTCCTGAGTTGTTTTGGGTCCCACTTTTTAAATTATTTAATTAATTTATTGGTAGGAACCCTATAGTGCAAGATGGTTTCAAACTGATGGCAGTCCTCCTGCCTCGTCCCCCCCCATCAAGACACGAACCACTGTGCTCACCCCCCCAGCCCCACTTCCACCCCCGAATGCCTTCCCCCCCTTACAGGGTTTCTTTCTGTAGCGTTGGCTGTCCTGGGACTAGTGCTGTAGAGCAGGCTGGCCTCGAACTCATGGAGATCCGCCTATCCGACTCTGCTTCCCAAGCATTGGCCTTAAAGTTGTGTGCCAACACCACCCAGTAAGCCCTGTCTCTTTTTAAACTGGGTTCTGAAAAAGCTGGTAAGAAGAGCATTGTTTGGCAGGGAAGGGAAGGGAGTGTCTTTGCAGGAAGGGACCTGGGGATTGAGAGAGCCCATGTTATTGGTCTCAGGGCTGCTGTACCAAGCATCCTCTCAGTCCTAAAAAGTGCTGTGGTACATATTGTTTGCATTAAATGACAGTTTTTTTTTTTTTTTTTAATGTGAACGTGAATATGGCTCTTTGAAAAATGTCTAGCTTGTTGTAAACCTCTTTAGGTTTTTTTAGGGTTATGTCTGGCATGGTGTTATATGCCTTTAATCCCAGCACTCAGGAGGCAGAAGCAGGTAGATCTCTGTGAGTTCGAGGCCAACCAGGTCTACAAAGCTACACAGGGAAACCTTGTCTTGAAAAACCAAAAAAAAAAGTCAATTTCTTAATTTTCATTTGAATTTTTTCCTTATTGTTGGAGGCCAAAGGCATTTGGCAGGAGTTTGTGTTTAATAGTGCCCTGGGCCATAGGAAGTGGGGTAAGAGGATGTGGGATTGGAGGGGGTGTCTTTCTGTGAGAGGAAAGGTAATCAGACAGGAGGCTGAGGAGAAGACAGTGCAGAACAAGGAAGCAGTAGCCATGCAGGAGATTCAGTTTGAGTGAAACTGTCTAGGTCCCGCTTCCTTCCATTAAGTCTCCATGAAGCAGAGCTGTCCGGCTGGCCGGGAAAGCAGGCCACACCTTTCTAAGACACCCAAGTCTGCAGCCTGGGTTGCCTCTGTCCCCCTTGTTTGAAATTGAGGATGCTCTCAAGTGTTTGATTTATGCAGTTAATGCTGGAGGAAATTACCAGAGCTTAAACTCTGAACTGCCAAGTAGCTGGTTCTGTTTTCACATTACCTTGAGTGACGCTGCAGAGTCGTTCTGTCCGGCTGTACTTGCTCAATAAGGAAATGAAGTTAACATTATAAAAAGTTGTCTATGGTTGCTTGCAAGCCATCCCAAGTTTGGTTAAGGGAGAAACAAATGGATAAATTAGCCCTTTCTGAAGTGAATGTTGCAAAACGTCAAGCAGTGGAATGCCCTTC